GAAAATTTAATGATTCTTAATTCAAAAAGAAACACTAATGGCTCAGAAATACTGTAGTTGCTGTCTTTGTCTATTTGTTGTTCAAATCCCTTTCAAGATCAATGAGTCTTTGCTYTTCCCTTTTACATACTGAGAAGAATTACGGCAAAATAGTATGGCTAACTTCAAAGTTGCGGTGGAAACAAAATGTTTAAAATGTCAGTATTTTAGTGCTATTCTCACTTTTTGTGGAGGTAAAATGTGTTTGACAATACGAATTTAAACAGGGGACATTGCTTAAAGATATTCTACTGTGTTTTTGTTTTGTTCCTATACAACCTAAAAGTTTTTTTTTCAGTTTTTCCTGTTCTATTTCAGCTATCATGGTGCAACAACCTCTGCCCCCCATTCTTAGCCAGCCACCTCACCCCTGACCCTTGCTAATGCTCCTTGTTCGACACACTCTGCCCTCAGCTGCTTGCCCAGGAAGGTCATACTTCAAAGTGACATAGACAGTAAGGTCACTGTCAGTGAAAGCTGTTGGCAGATCTGCTTTCTTGTCCAAGACTGCTTCTTCCCAGTTACTGCATTGCATAAGGACTACAGTGCCACCAGCAGTTGTTTAGCATGTCACACCCTCACAGCAATAAAAATAAAAAGAAAAGAAAAACTAAACCATAATTATACCTCTGTTTTTTTTTCCTTTTCCTGTTACTTTTAGTGACAGCGGAATCTTACTGGCTCAGACAGAAAAAAAAACCTTCACAAATAAGCACACACATCACTATAGTATTGTTAAAAGTGCTAAATACACTTGGTCAGGGCTTCTAGTCATGTCATCTTTAATAAAATAATTGGAGGGTACTCACTTAAGTTTCCCTTTCTTTTGTTTAGCACACTTGATTAAAATATATATATATTCCCTCTTTTTAGGGCAGTCAACTATTATAAGTAAGCATTTCTACATAAACAACCCAGCTGTTAGAGCATATTGTGTTTCACCTCATCAGGAGTTCAAAGGAGCAGACAACAGATCAGCTGCATTCATTCATGGGTTGGTCTGCAGCCGACCAGCCCTTCAATTAAAATGAGGTACTTCTTATCCAGGTGGATGGATGGTGTATAAATAAATAAATAGTTAGATAGATAGATAGATAGATAGATAGATAGATAGATAGATAGATAGATAGATAGAT